CCAATCACCTGTACCCCCTCGCCCCGGTGCTGCCCCTCCTCATATTGTTCTATAAATTGAAGAAGGAAACGGGATACGGGGTCTTTTGCTTAAGCCACTGACCTGGTAAGGGCAAAGACCCTGACTTAAGTTAGCTAATAAACTGTCCTATTGCATTTGCATTGGCATGGGTTGGCGTCTTCTTCTCTTCCGAAATTCTCCTTTACAGCCTGGGCACAACAATCTAACATCCTTGAACCCCATGTAGCTAAGTAGAATGAGGAGGCAAAGAAATGTCTTTCTGTTGCTGGGGATGGAACTGATGTCTCCAAATCAGAGAAGATACTGAGTAGAATGCTGTCCTAAACCCTGCACACCACCCCTCAGTTCCCCAAACTTCCTGTCTCACAGCTGCATGTCCTGCCAGGCTCACCACTGAATGCATTCAGCCATCTGAATGCATCCGTAGGAGCCTATTCCAGCGCTCCCTGCAGTTTGATCCAAAGCTAGGTTATTTAGCATGATTTTATACTACATGTATTCTTAGGCTATATTAAAATGGAATTATAATTATATATTCTTTTTTTTTTTGAGGATGGGCTTTCAAAGATAAAATGTTATACACATATGAAAATGAATTTTAACCAGAACTATCCAATAGGGTTTTTGTGGTGATGGAAATGATCTGTAGCTGCACTGTCTAATACAGTAGCCACTAGGCACATGTGGCTATTGCATATTTGAAGCATGGTTAGTGCAACTGAGGAGCTGAATTTTTATTTAATTTTCATTAATTTAAATCTAAACAGCCACATGCTACTGTGTTGATGGTGTAGACTGTCCTTCAAGAGGGCAGCTACTAGGTGTCTGGACCTAATATGCTTCTTGGCAGCTGAGACATTGAATATAGGAAACGTAAAGCTGTTTTAAAGTAGATTTTAAGTAAGATCCTGAGACTTCCATGGAGCTAGTCTCTTTCCTGCGATATGCAAGTGACACAGCCTTACTTGCTGAAAGTGAAGATGACTTGAAGCACTTACTGATGAAGATCAGACTACAGCCTTCAGTAGGGATTATACCTCAACATAAAGAAAATAGAATTCTTCACAACTGCACCAGTAAGGAACATCATAAATGGAGAAAAGATTGAAATTGTCAAGGATTCCATTTTACTTGGATACACAGTCAACACTCATGGAACAGTAGTCAAGAGATCAAATAATGTATTGCATTGGGCGGGAGCTCTGGTAGCATAGTGGCTAAGACACTTGCCTGCTAACCAGATGGCTGGCAGTTCAAACCCACCAGCCACTCCTTGGAAGGAAGGTTGGGCAAGCCTACTTCCATAGTGATACTGCCTCGGAAACCTAAGGAGGGGTCGCTATGAGTCGGGCCAACTTGACGGCACACAACAACAACAATTGCATTGGGCAGATGTGCTGCAAAAGACCTCTTTAAAGTGTTAAAAAAAGATATCACTTTGAAGACTAAGGTATGCCCCACCCAAGCCATGGTATTTTCAATCATCTCCTATGCGTATGAGAGCTGGACAATGAATAAGGAAGACTGAAGAATTATTGATGCATTTGAATTGTGGTATTGGCAAAGAATACTGAAAATACCATGGACTGCCAGAAGAATGAAGAAATCTGTCTTGGGAGAAGTACAGCTGGGATGCTTCTTAGAGGTGAGAATGTCTAGACTTCATTTCATACTTTGATCATGTTCTCAGAATGGACTAGGATATCATGCTTGGTAAAGCAGAGGCTCAGAGAAAAAAGAAGACCCTCCACAAGATGGATTGACACATTGGCTGCAACAATGGGCCCAAAGAGCAAGCGTTGTGAGGATGGCGCAGGACAGGTAGTGTCTCATTCTGCTGCGCCTGGAGTCACTGAGTCAGAACCAATTCAATGGCACCTAACAACATAGCTTTCCTTGTCTTAGGCTGGGGGAGTGGGTCCTTTCGGAGGACAAATAGACAGCCTTGAACCACATCAGCATCATGTCGAGGTGATTCCTAAAGGAAGATGCAAACTTTAAAATAATTCCAGCAGAGATGGTTGACTCTATCCCTGACTGTCCCCTCACTCACCCCCTTTACTTTGCTTGCACCATCTCTTGCTGCTCTGGTCTTATTTTCAGTGTTGGGGAAAATTTCCTCTTTCATAGATTCTTATTTATTTATTTCTATTGTGATTTGGGTGAAAAGTTACAGAGAAAATTCACTTTCCATGTAGCAGTTCACATACACTTTGTCTCAGGACATTGACTACAATTTACCACAGTGAAACAGCTCCCCTCCCACTTCCTCCCGATAGTGACCTCTTCCCTGTGTCCATCCCTCCATGCACTCCTTCCCCCTGAGCTGTCTCCTGGTGTATAAGCAGCCCTTCTTTCTCCCATGGTGGTTCTCTCCAAGGAGAGATTTACTCTAAGGAGAACAGTTTACTCTCAGGTAAACGTTCAACTCATATGCCTGTCTTTTGTTCGGCTGGAAGCCACAGGTGTGGGTTCAATTCCAGACCTGAAGGGCAGGTAGGGACCGTAGTCTCAGCGGTTCCACTAAGCTCTATCAGACCAGCAAACCTGATCCCTTCCCCTTCCCCTCCCCCCCCCAAATGATTTTGAGTTTTGTTCCACATTGTTCTCCCTCTCTATCCAGGATCTCCTACACAGATCCCCCTCTGAGTGGTTGACAGTGGTAGCCAGGCACCATCTAGTTCTTCTGGTCTCATAGTTGTATAGGCTGCAGATTGCATGGTGTACCAGTTGCTAGGATTCATTGTTTCCATGAATCTTTGGTTTTCTTAATTTTTCTTTGCTCTGGATGAGGAGAGACCCATTGTTGCATCTAGATGACTGCTTGCAAGCTTTTAAGATCCCAGTGAACTATTCACCAAAGTAGGAGGTAGAACAGTGTTTTGTGTAGTATGTTATTTCATAGTTTCTTGTAGAGGCAGCAGCATTTGCCTAGGAGAGCCTGTGTTCTTGAGGAGTTCCTAGAGTGGCTTGGGTTTGGATATCAGAATAAATTTGCCCCTTTAAAGCCACATGTAAATTAACTTCAATAGACCCTGTTGGTAGAGGTAGCTACTCTAGCTTCTCAGATGGCTGGAGCAGCTTTAGAGCTGCTCAGTAGAATTGAGTGGAAGGATTCTGACCTGGCACTGAGGTTGCTTTTTGAAGTGAGAAGCATATCAAAAGTGGTAATGATAACAAAAGGAAATATGAGATGACAACCTCTCTCAGGCTTGGACAAAGTGAGATATTAAATTAATTAGGACTGAGAGGTCCAGGAAGTGCTGGAAGTCGAGTTCTAGGCTGTCTTCCTATTCCTTCCAACTTGGGTATCCTTTGAAAAGTCTCATCCTAGAGCCAGACGGTGAACAGTGTTGCTGCCCAATTGCAGCAGGTACTAGTGCCATGCTGGCTGTGGAAAAACCGCCAGGGTGGCTTCATAAAGATATAGAGTCTCAGGCCCCACCCTGGGAGTTTCCTTTCCAGCAAACCTAGGGCAGGGCCTGACAATAAGCAGTTTTAACAAGGGCTCCCTGGTGATTCTGATGTGCAACTAGATCTAGGGCCTGATGCTAAGACTGAGAGACTTTCCCTGTTAAGGGAGGGTGATCAGTAAAAGCTAAATAGCACCATATGAGAATGGAGGTCCTTTGGCCAAAGAATCAGAATAAAAGAGAACTTTTCCCAGTCCCCAGAATGACATATGTAGCATCATTACCACCTATGTCTCACATGAGAAAGACAGGACACTATTGCTGATTGTCTGTTTTCTGCCAGTTCTTAAGAGGGCAATGTATCAGTCAGATTTAGTTCATCACCTGACACCAGACATTGTCTTAGCAGGTTTGTGTGTGTGTGTGTGTAGGTGATAGATAATAGCAAAAGTGTCCAAAAAAAAAAAATTCTGTAACGATAGTTATGTTCTTAGGTTAGGACCCCATATGAATGAATGTTCACTACTATGAAGTAGCACACTTGAAAGAGGACATTCCAAACAGAATCTTAATTTGAAGTTTCCGTAGTTACAGATGACAGCTTCACAGGTCAATATCATCTATATGTGGTAAGAAAATATTGAGAGGAAATGACTTCCAAATCGGATCCAGCCACCCCATAAACTCAAGAGCTTGCATTGTTTTGCAGAGATTGTCTTATTTGTGAACCTATAGTTGTGATGGCCATGCCTACAGATAAGCATCCCACCCTGTTCATACTCCCTTCCTTGAATCCACTGGGAGCTTCGAGGGCTCAGAGTTCACATCCCTGTGGAATCTAGAGATGAGCTCCTTGGTGAGAGGTCCGTTTCCCTGGTTCTTATTGTCTCTCCCCTTTTCCAAGAATGGGGGCAGAGGTTTATAGTTTTTACTCCACTGATACTGCTTGGTGCCTAACAGGCCCCAGGCCATGAAGTCTCTGAGGTACCTGCTGACAGGAAGGCTAAGATTGGAGCAAGGCAATATCACTGTTTACTGGTTCCTGAGTATGTTTTCTAGACATAAGTACAGACCCAAAGATTTCTCTGTGTGGGCACAACTCAGGCTCACATGGAGACCTACAGAGACATAGTCAGGGCTCAGAAGCATTCAGTTAACATGGCTGAGGTTGGCATTGGTTCAGGGCAGAGCATCCTCAACTCTCTTGGTAGTCTTACTCAGAGAAGGCCCAGGTAGATAGAAAATCCACTGACAGGTTTCTCTGTTGTTGCTCAGATGTGACCTGGCGGTAGCCCAGCAAATGCATGGTGTCAGAACACATCTTCTGAAGCCGTGTAACCTTTTCAAAAGGCAAGGTCCAGCGCCAGGCCTGGGAGACATTGAGAGCATTCCTAGAATCTGTGTGGAAAGCATGTGTACCTAAGCCCTTGCCTTGTGTGACGTTTTGCACCCAGGTCTGGAGCCAGGGCAAGAATTTCAACCCTACAAAGTCATACATTCGGGAAGTCTGGGCCTCGGGGGCTCGGACCAGGTCCTCATAACGTACAAGCAAGTAACGCTGCTGCAGGGCTTTGGGCAAAAGCTGGACGGCCTCAAAGATCTCCCGCTGGCTTTTGCAGATGGTCTGCATCACATGGTAGGGCAAGTCCTCCTTCTTGAGTTGGTGCCACTTGTCCCCTAATACAATGCGGCTGTCTGTCATGAGTTCCAGCGTGGTGTGTTCTCGGGAACTGAACACAGCCCGGGGGTCCCGGACCAGGTGCACGATGTACAGGTTGAGGGATGGATCCCTCAGCAGAGGGTAGAGGGACTCCAGGTTGAAGAAGCGTACCTCCTTGAGTACCACATGTCTGTAAGAGCGGCAGGCTTTCTCCACCATCTCGAAGGGCTGTCGATTGCACAGAACCTTGCAGTGAGCTTGTGGGATGATCTTACCCCTTGGGAAGATGTTGCAGGCAGGTGGGGAACATAGGGCCCGGCTGGTCTCCCACTGGAAGAGACTGGACTGTCTTCGGGGACCGGGTTGCATATATGCATCGAAGACACTCATGTCGCAATGAAAGACAGAGCGCACCAGGTCCCTCACCGCCATGTGCAACCTCAAAGCAGTGCTCTGGGTAAAGCTCATCCAGACATGCCAGGCAGGCTCCATCAGGTAGAAGACATCTGGGTGCTGCCCGAAAACCTGCCCCACAAAGGAAGAGCCTGAGCGCCACGAAGACAGGATTAGCACATGCACAGGCTTGGGCTCCTCCTTTGAAGGCAGGGAGCTGAAGTTGTAGCTGTACAGTAGACAGAAGAATAGAGTGAAGATCACCACCTGGGAAGTGAGAAGCAGCAGCAGCCTCATTTTCTTGGACAGCATCATTGGGCAGAAGTTGAAGACCTTTAAGGAACAAAGAGACAGGCTTGTTAGGCTGCTTGTTTAGTGTTTTGTTTCCCTCTCCTTTTTAGGCAACACCACCTTCTCCCTGGCTTCCTCCAAGGAATGATGCAGAATGCCTAAACCCTCCTACCACCAGTTGTACCTGTCTCTCCTCAAATCAATTCCTGTGCCTTAAAGTTACTGTGTCAATTAAGTTTATTTATTTTAGGCTCCTCAGTTCTTCCTTCCTGGTCTTTTTGTCCTTTGGACTCCACCAAGAATGTCTTTTGCCAGTTGCCATCAAGTCAATTCTGACTCATGGTGGGTGACCCCATGTGAGTCAGAGTAGAACTGTGCTCCATAGGATTTTCAGGAAATCTTTTGATTAGCAGCTGAGTGTGTGAACCGTTTGTACCATCCAAGAGTTCCACCAAAAATGTTTAAACCGGCTATATTTAATCAGCATGTAGGGGACCAGCTGTCTCCTGAAGATTGTACATCTCCAGGTAGGTTACTTGTCAATAACAATATGACCCAAGGCTCGGTTGAATGCGCTGATTCCTCCTGAAACTAAGACAGATAAGCAGTCTTCTGAGATGCTGCCTTGAGGCCATGGCTCATCCATCCCTATCTTAAATGACTATCATAAGGCCATTTATCTCCCTCTTCCCACGTTTCAGTTGAGCACTTCCACCCTGAGGGGTCTACCAGAAAAACCAAACTCACTGTCATCGACTGGATTCTGACTCATAGCAACCCCCCTTTGGGTTTCCGAGGTGGTAAATCTTTACAGGAGTAGATTGCCCAGTCTTCCTTCCCATGGCTGCAGGTTATAAAACTGTTGGCCTTTAAAGCTGTTTCCTCAGCAACAGAACCAAGTGTCTATAGAACCTGTCATCTTTTGAGACTAGAGACAGAAGGAACCAACCCAATGCTGACCTTGCTTCTGTGTAGATAATCAACTACAGGTAATCCCAGGTTACCAACATCTGCCTTTTGGGCAATTCCTACTTTCCCTTTAATGCTATGTAAATTTGCCCTCAATTTGAAATGATTGAACCAGCCCTTCTTTGCAACAGATTATTTATCACAATCACCTGCACTTGCTGCAGCTCTTAAATCATTGAAAAGACAGCCTTTTCTTGAACTAAAATAAGGCTAAGTAAGAACCTTATGCACCTGTCCAACTCACCTGCAAAGTTGCAGACACAATTAAGAACAGATCTCATTCATAATCTGGGGACTGCCTGTATATGAATTCATTTGGATTCATAGTCTCTTTCTGGTTACTAATAGACGCTATGAAAGTGTGGTAAGTTAGCCTAAGGACTGCAGTATTGGTACTTGTGGCCTGCCAGCTGCTGCTTGGGGAAAATGTTTTGAATGCTTGACACAACCTACGCAGGGTTGCTCAGTACAGTTGAGCAGGTTGTATACTGTACAACCCTAGGGAATGCCGTAACATCAGTTTTCTGGGTATTTTTTATTTAAAAAATTCTGGTAACTAACAGTAATGTGGGGAGCTCTGGTAGCGTAGTGCCTAAGGCACTTGACTGCTAACCAGAAGGCTGGCCCTTCAAACCCACCAGCCACTCCTCAGAAGGAAGGCTGGCCTCAGAAACCCAAGGAGGGGTCGCTATGAGTCGGGGCCGACTCAACAGCACATAACAACCACCACCACCTCAGAAACCCAAGGAAGGGTCGCTATGAGTTGCATCCAACTCCACGGCAGTGCGTTTGTTGTTGTATGCCCAAGACATTCTTATTTACAGCTTTCATAAGAATAGACTGTCTTCACACATTAATTGGAGCTGGATTTAGGGTTTACTGTTTTTCAGTGACAGGTCTTATCATTGCTTTTTAAATAGCTAATAGTCACATGGTTCAATGTTTTTAAAGAGATACTCTCTTGAACATAGTCCACAGACTAAAAATTGAAAGTAAGGCGTTGTAAGATTCTGCAAGTTCTGCTATTAAGTACAAAAATGCAAGGGGTCACTGTGAATCAGAGTTGACTCCATGGCAACTCAAGGAGGAGATTCTGTATGCAGGCGGGAATAAGTGCGCCTTTGTTAATTGTAGCCTACCCTGGCATTCCTCAGGTCTTTAACACGTGGAGTGACACACGAGGGGAACTCTTATGACAAGCTGTGTCTATGAAGGAGGCCTGAAGTTCTAAGTAAAAGAACTTCAAGAGCTATTTGTGAAGAGGGGTAATGAAATAACTTTTTAAAGGAGTCACAGTATTTTTCCAGGGGAAAGAAAACCTAAACATTTTGCTAGGTTGCTGAATCTGTAACCTCTTCTCTCTATACTACCAGGGAGCGTTTATCTACTAGCTAGTGTTTTGTCATCATTGTGGAAAGTCTACTTCCAACACCTGCCCTTCAACTGCCCAGTCCCCACTTTGCTTCCAGATACCAGCTGGGTTTATTCTTTCATATAGCTTTTCCTGTTTCTTTATGCATACACAGGTAAATTCAAATATATGTGTATCCTTAATATCTTCCCTCTTTATAATACAAAAAGTAGCAAGTTATCCACACAGTCTGTACCTTGTTTTTTTTTTTTCTTCTTCTTCTTTTTTAACTTAACAATATGTCTTGTAGAGCTTTCTATAGCAGTACATAAAACATTCCTCTTTCCTTTTTACCAATAAGATAATTCCACGGGAGTGGGTGCCACTTTTTTTTTAAAATCTACTTTCTTCATTGATGGACTTTTGGTTTGTTTCCCATCTTTTGCCACTTCAGATGCTTTAGTAATGACCTCTGTGTTCACATACCATTGCACGTGTGTGTACAATATATCTCCAGACATGGGATTGATGAGAGTATATGCATGTGGAACTTTGGTATCTGCTGCTTAGATGGCTTCATATTAGCCATAAACCACTCTCTATGTCTAGGGGTCTAGAAATATTAGACAGTGGTTTTAAAGCAAGAACGGAGTAGCCACAGATACTACTCTCTGGAGTTTACTTTTTGCTTCCTGAAGAGGTAAGACATGTTTTGCTGGCTGATGAGCTTCCCGTGGAAGTCCCCTGACCGTTCTGGGAAGTGTCCTGACTCAAGCCAGATCCTGAGTGTGGCAAAGCAGAGTAAACCCTCTTTTCCATCCTTTACAACAATGTTTTTCCTCTGTGTGGGCCAGACGGATCCAGTGAGGATCATCTGTCCTTTGTGGCCAAAAAGCACTTTGCTGTATGCCAGGAAATGCTAAAACCAAACCCACTACCGTCAAGTCGGATCTGACGCATAGCGACCCCTCCTTGGGTTTCCAAGGCAGTATCATTACGGAAGTAGATTGCCCAGCCTTCCTTCCGTGGAGTGAATGGTGCGTTTGAACTGCCAGCCTTCTGGTTAGCAGTCAAATGCCTTAGGCACTATGCTACCAGAGTTCCTAATGAATGGGTTATTTGCAGTGCCTAGGGCATTTGATTGCTGGGTAGTGCCTAAGGCACTTAACTGCTAACCAGAAGGTTCAACACCAGCCACTCCTCGGAAGGAAGGTTGGGCAATCTACTTTCGTAGTGATATTGCCTTAGAAACCCAAGGAGGGGTCACTATGAGTCGGGGCCGATTCTATGGCACATAACAACACAACACAACAAGGCATTTGACTGCTAAGCAAAAGGTTGACGGTTCAAACCGACCAGGAAGGAAGATGGGGCAGTATACTTCCGTAAAAACATACCACCTTGGAAACCCAATGGGGGTCACTATAAGTAAATATCAACTCAATGGCTATGGGTTTGGGTTCTGGGGAGTCTTTGTGCACAGGTTAGAACCAGGCCAGCTGAGATCCCCTAGTTCTTTAAAACTTGAGCTTAAGAGGAAATGACTAGAAACTAGGCCATTATTGATAATGGCCTAATACCAAACCAAACGCACTGCCATCGAATCAGATCCGACTCATAGCGACGCCTCCTTGGGTTTCTGAGGCAGTATTACTACGGAAGTAGATTGCCCAACCTTCCTTCTGAGGAGTGACTGGTGAGTTTGAACCGCTAGCCTTCTGGTTAGCAGTCAAGTGCCTTAAGCATTACGCCACCAGAGTTCCCAATGGCCTAATAATGACCACCAAAGACCAAAGTGGTGACTTTAGCAAGAGAGATTCCCCCAAGGGCAACATGAGTATGAGAAAAAGTTTGAGTAAGGATAGGAAACAATGGAGCAAAAGAAAGAAGAACTTGACTTATGTACAACTATAAGGAAACTGTGATAGCATTTTAATAATCACCTGAAGAAAAAGCTAACATTTTCTAGGGATTAAAAAAATAGACCTTGCAAAGGTACAACCGCCTCGCACCCCTAATCCTGGCTTCTGGCCAACTCTGCATCCTCTGCAGGGCTCCATGGCTCTCAGCCTCCTTGTCTGCCAGTGGCTCCTGGCTCCCGCCAGTTCCCTACCAGAACTGGACCTGGGCCTTCTAACTCTGTCCCTTGTTTGCGCTCTGGAGTTCACATGCAAACCCCCTAACTTCTTTCCATTTTCCTCTTTCCATCAGCAATTTCCCTGATCAGGGAGAGGGAAAGCCATTATGAAGAGCACCTTATCCCTTGTCATTGGGTTCTAGAAACATCTTGGACCTAAGTGACACATGATGGGGTTGGGCCAGAGTCTGTCTTGAGCAAGAGTCAGCAGTGCAGAGATTGTAATCAGCAGCAGAAGGTGGATGCTCTTGAGATCCCGGAGGAAGAGAGGTGGTGAGGGTCACCAGCGAGCTTGAGGCTCCTGAAGAAAGGAACACTGAGGACACTGACATGGCAGAGTCCCCTCTAATTTATCTGCCTTCTTTGCCCTGGGGTCCTTCATGGACCATGACCTCCTTTGCAGTGTTCAGAGAGGGTCAGCATTTGTGAGAAGTCTGAGACATGACTCACTCCCACCTTCCCTGGTTACACCCTTTTGGTTGGATAATTTTTAATAGATGTTCGAAATGCATGCTTGAATTCCTCCCAGTCCATTGTCTCATGCGCATCTGCTCATTTCTTGATTAC